TGTGTATGTATATATGCAAATATATATAATTTACATGCGACACAGATATTTAAAATGCCAAACCTTTACAAAAGTTATGAACTCTTCCACTTTTTCATTGGACATTGCTCACAGTCACTTTGATATGGAGGTTATTTAAATTTGACAAATAAATGAATTAATATTGCCAAATCCCACCCATGAATATCCTTCATGTCAGAGATCTCAAAACTTCTTCTTGGAGCATTAGATCAAGGGGGTAATTGGGCATATTCTTGTTTGTGTGTTGAAGATAAAATTTGGGATTGCCACAGCCAAGACATTTGTGTAAAGCAACAGAATCTGAGGTTTTTTGGGTGGTTGTCGTGGTGTAATGACATTATTCAATGGGATAATTGAATCAATTTAAAAACCACTGTCTTGGCTGTTTTAAACTATTGTAATTACATAATTCAAAAATTATTCTAATTATGATTATATCTAGTTTTGAGACAGTTTGTGTTGTTGAGGAACAATCCTTCTGTCTCCATTTTGTTTATCCATTGTTTTTTCCATTTTTGCATAACTTCTTTATTTATTTGCAATATATTATCTTGCTTTCAAGTTACTCTGTCTTCAGATACATAGTCATAACCTCTTAGTCTTCAGCCAAAAAGGCTGCTAAAACAGTTTTTAAATCGTTAGGCATTTATTGCCTCAACTTTAAGCTTGTACATTAAAATGGGCCTAAGTGGGTTTTTTTATTAAAATCTGGAGGTCCACTCACTGGAGACTGTTGCAAAAACATTTGGGGTGTGTGTGAAGATTTCTATTTCCTTTTGGATTATTAGAACTGAATAGAATTCAGACTACTGTTCTCCAGAAAGATCTACTGCTTATTGTCCCAGGCATTCTTTGCTTCGGCCATAGGCAGCACGGACCATACAAGTTAACAATGGCCTGTAATTTTTTTTCAGAATACTATATATTAGAAAATATTTGTAGCTTTAGATTTAGGTTTTAGATTTTGGCAGTGGTTTGCTCTCCAAGTTTGTTTCAATTTAGTTTGGTAACAAAATGTTCAGAAATTAAATTGAAACAAGCTTGGAGAGCAAACCACTGCCACTATACTCCATTCTATGAAAATCTTCAGAACTGATATGTGCAAGTAACATCTTCACCATACTATTTGCTATGACCTCAAGTTCTTACATACATAACCAATTTTACCAGTGTATTGAAATTGGAGCAGGAGTAATGCCCCAAGGTTTAGCAATTTACATTTATGTGTATTATACTTCATTTTCCATTTGATTGACTGGCCAGCCAGTTTCAATCTTTTGGAGATTTTCACAGTCATTGCTGGTTTTTGATACATCAAATAGTTTGGCAACATCCTCAAAACTGCCCACTTCATTATTTATCCCTAAATTATCAATTCACATGTTTGGAGAAGCTGGAAGAAATCCCGCAATTCTACCCAGACATCATATACTAATCTTCCCTAAAATGTATAGAGTTCTAAGCCTCGTGTTACAAAATGATCAGTATGTATTTCACAGCATAATTTTGGTAAAAGCTGTTAATCTGTCGCTCCTAATAGATAAACTGGAGGAAAATAAAGACGCAGTCTGGAAGTCAAATATTGATGATGATCAGAGCAGTTGCTATTGACATTCCCCAAGTTGCTAAATATTTATGTATAAAAGGTCCTCTGAAATCCTCTTTCCTTTTTTCCCCATAGAATGTTGCTAAAAAACTGAAAATCTTTCTCAGATTTCAGTGAGTGCACAAAGTAAACTCTACTTATATATTTACAAAAGCCACTCAGGGGAAATTAAGTTAGCACAGCTAGTATTCTTTTTATTCATACCATCTTTCTTTAAATATATTTTATACTTTTGCTCACTAGGAGAATGCCTATATTTGTGTGCTTTCCTCCTGAGGCTTTGATTTTCACTTTGCTTATGATTGTCCATCTTCTCTCAGGCCTTATATAATAAATACAGTAAAAACTAAATATACTATATTTATTCAGGAAATACCAAATATTCACCCGAAACTATTTATGACTCAATGGTTCAACATGCTAAGCTTTTCAGCTATAAAACTGACAGCCTGGGTTCGAGACCTGAATTGCACAATGGGATGAGCTCTGCTCCGGCCCACTTAGCAGTTTGAAAGGGTACAAATACGAATAGATAAATATCGTGTTTCTCTGAAAATAAGACCCTGTCTTATATTTTTCCCCATCCAAAAAGGCACCAGGTCTTATTTTCAGGGGGGATGTCATTCACGCTCACCTCACTTGCGGTGTTGTGCCCAGCCTCTGTTTTGCTATCAGAGGCGTTCAAGAACTTCTTTGGCCAGCAAGCCTTTCCTGAAGGCCTCTGCAGCCAATAACAGAGCTCTGGATCGATCCAGAGCTTTGTAATCAACTAGAGAAGCCTTCAGGAAAGCCTTGCCAGCTGCAGAAGAAATGGGCCAAGGTGTGGCAGGACTGATTGCAACTATCTGAAGGTAAGTAGGGCAGCTCCACCACCCCCACATTCCCACCCTAGCTTAATTTTTACCCGCACACCCTGGTGTGGGCGGGATCTTTAGGACTTATTTGGGGGGTAGGGCTTATATTGGGTGCACATGTAAAAAATCAAGCTAGGGCTTTCTGAATAGGTCATATTTTTGGGAAAATGCACTTTGGGGAAGATGGGAAGGTAACAATGTTCCACATGCCTTGGTGTATAGTCATGCTGGCCACATGACCACAGGAAGGGTTTTTGGACAATGCTGGCTCCCTTGACTAAGAAATGGAGATGAACATTGCCCCCTAAAGTCAGATATGACTAGAAAGGAGAAACCTTTAACTTTACTTTGATTTATAGGAATGACTTGGACCATGCTGGCTGGGAATGCTATGGACTATATTTCCAGTTAATCTGGAGAGCACCAGATTTTAGAAGGCTGACCTAGAGAGGCTTCATATGACACCTACTTTAATGTGTAATGCATGCATTTTTATTGTATGGTTGAATACACACATGTGTGTATTCTAATTATACTTTTTCTTTGCGCTGTCCTTACTACTTAATTTTTTTCTATGTGATAATTATGTACCACATAGCTGACCATTTCATCCAAGTCGTGACTTTTTCCAACCTACTGGATAATGTGTTGTCCAGATGGCTTCCATCTCATCTTTCTCTTTCATTTGACTGGTCTCTTCCTTTCAATATTGTCCTATCAAACCTTCACATCTTTAGCTTTGAGTTATTTTTAAGCCCTGTGTATATCTGCAGGAAACCTGTACACATGTCAGTTATGACTTCACAAAAAGGAAAGTTAAGAATTCTTGAAGGGAATGAAAAACAAACCCTTGAAACAAAAAATGGATTTGTCGTTAATGATATTTGTGATGATAATTCAAGTAAGCCTTTATAAAGAGCTATTTAATAATAGTTTCATTCAGAGAGCTTATGTCGTGAGCATATTTTAAAAATTATGTATATTTAGATAAATGATAATTTTCATCAGCAGTAGGGAATATTTTTTGGGTGGAAGCAGGTAAAGATTTCACCAGAAGATCATTTTCTGTTTCATTTTTATTTGATCAGATTTTGATTATTTTGATTAGAAAAAGTATATTCAGTGTTTTTGGAATCAGATTTTTTTAACCTTTGTGTGATGTAGGAAGCTTATTTTTTTAGGAATTCATTTTTAGATATTCAGTCTGTTTTGAGTCATTTAAAAGCTAGTTTGCTTATTTAAAAAATAATAATTTTGTTAAAAAGTAATACAAACTTAATAAAAAATAAAAAATAAATGGTGCAAAAAAGAAAAAAGAAATAGAAAAGAAAGGAAAAAAATATCGCAAGAAAAATTATAAAAGTGTTCGTTACAAGTATAAATTTTTAGCAGCTTATCTTCCCTTAAAATATAATATCTTCTTCACATATTCAATCTTTTATCTATAAACAGGTAAATGCCTCATCATTTCAACCCTGATCAGCCAAAGTCAATTAAAGGTCATGAGAGATAACAACATATCTATTTTAACCTTTATCAAATTAACTTTATATTCATTTCTGTTACTTTTAACAATTTTGATTTTTAGTTTTTTCAAATAATAAAGTATACCATTATTTGTCTTAATTTTTTTCCTTGTCCCTTCTCACAAGATTCTTCAAAACTTTAACAAACTTTTGTAAATCCAAAGGAATGTTATCCAGGTCGCTCTCTTGGTTTGTTATTTGTATGCCTCTTAATTATTAAGATTAAATTTCTTTTGTATGTTCCACTGTAGCAACTTTTTACAAATCATATTTGTACCTTGACATTTTAAAATCCACTTTCATATCAGTCTCAGTCTTGTCACATAAAACTCCATCTTCTTCCATAACATCTTTAAACACTATTTATAGAGCCACACACACTTTAAATTAACTTCTGGGTCCTTTGTTCTAAAATATCTTTCAATATGTCCAGTGTTAAAATATGTTGCTTCATTCTGTTTTACAAAGCAAATCTGAGTGTTTTAGTTTTCAGACTTGTTATTCCAAGGTTCCTAATAACTGAAAAGCAAGTGATAAGCCCCTTATCAAATTGATTAGAAAAGGAAGTATGCAAATTGAGTGTCTTTTGGAAGAAATCTGGCCATGGTTTGAGCAAGATGGCTATTCTCTCATCTCCTAGAACATTAAACCCATCAGAGACTGCTGTCCTGCAGTCTCTTCATGAAGAGCAACTGTCTGGAGCACTTTTGGGTGTTATCCA